GACTCAAGTTGTAGCCCCACATCACCTAGAGGGGTTTGAACCTGCAGCACATCTCAGTACAGTGATCTAACTGCCACACAACAGACTAGACATTTGCAAGGCCTTTCTTTACTGCTGCTTTTGAAACAGGGCCGTTGCACCTTGAATGCACCTTGAATGTAATAGTCATTGGTGTTATCACAGAATCACAGAATCATAGAAGTAGGGTCGGAAGGGACCTTGTAGATCTTTGAGTCCGACCCCCTGCCTGGGCAGGAGAAAAACTGGGCTCAAATGACTCCAGCCAGGTAGGCATAAAGCCTCTTCTTAAAGACCCCCAGGGTAGGGGCCAGCACCACTTCCCTTGGAAGTTGGTTCCAGCTCCTAGCCGCCCTAACCGTGAAGTAGTTCTTGTGGATGTCTAATCTAAACCTGCTCTCCAACAACTTGTGGCTGTTATTCCTTGTTATGCCAGGGGGCACTAGGAGAAACAAGGTCTCTCCCAAACCCTTCTGGTCCCCCCTAGTGAGTTTATAGACAGTCACCAGGTCTCCCCTCAGCCTTCGCTTGTGAAGGTTGAACAGGTTCAGGTCCCACAGTCTCTCACTGTAGGGTCTGCTGTGTTGTCCGCGGATCATGTGGGTGGCCCTCCTCTGGACCCTCTCAATGTTGTCCACATCCCTCCTGAAGTGGGGTGCACAGAACTGGACACAGTATTCCAGCTGTGGCCTGACCAGTGTCGTGTAGAGGGGGAGGATCACCTCCTTGGACCTACTTGAGATGCACCTGTGGATGCACAACAAGGTCCGGTTAGCCCTGCCAACTGTGACCTCGCATTGTCAGTCCCATGTTCATCTTGGAGTCAGTAATGACTCCAAGATCCCTTTCTGCCTCCGTGCTCTCAAGAAGGGAGTTTCCCATCTTATAAGTGTGCTGCTGGTTACTACTGCTCAATGCAGCACCCTGCACTTGTCAGTATTGAAACGCATCCTGTTTTTGTTAGCCCACCTCTGTAACCTATCCAGGTCTTGCTGCAGTCTTTCCCTCCCTACTAGCGTGCTCACCTCATCCCAAATTTTGGTATCATCAATGAATTTAAACAGGTTGCTTTTCACCCCATTGTCCAAATTGCTGATAAAGAAATTGAACTGCATGGGCCCAAGGACCGAGTCCTGGGGGACTCTGCTGCCCACTTCCCCCCAGGTCGAATATGACCTGTCTACCACCACCCTCTGAGTACGACCCTTCAGCCAATCTGCAATTATACTCCAATATAATTTACACCTGAATTGAGAACAGGCCGGTGAGCACTTGTTTGTAGATAGGTACTCTCAGTAGGCACTATAAAGTCTCACTACCTTGTGATGACAAGAAAGTAGCATCCTGTTTGATTTGAGCTTATAGCTTCCCCTTGGATGGAAGTCAACGCACACCACCTACATTGGGGGAAACTGGCTGACTTTTCCCAAGGTGATTCTACGCTGGACTCAAGTGAGTTACACTGCTGTAATGGTTTACATCATCTGTCTGCAATGGTGTAAAGTCCAGTTACCCAAGTGTAAATGTGTCATCTGGCCAGGCCTGAAGAAGAGTGCTTTAATTAAAAGTAGAAATTCTGAGCTTCCTGTTGGGAGCTGTAATCTTGCTGGAAAGTGACATCATGAGTGTTGCACTGCAGACCTACATTAACTTTCTGCCTGAGTCAGAGAGGTACGTAACTTTGAATAGTTCCTAACTGTGTGCCAGGTGCCTAACTTTGAATAATCCCTTTGAAGTGTGTAGGATTTTAAGTGTCTTGGTGAGTCAGGGCCTTGGACCAGAAATAAAGCTGGCTTGATAAGTGTTTAGAATAAGTTCATTGATTCCTAATATAGGACGAGTTGCAAGCAGTGCCACTTGTTAGCAAGAAGGCATAGATAGCTGGAAAAGAGATTCAGATCTGGGCATGGCCGCTGTATTTTTGCAGGATACGGAAGCTCCCATGTGCTGCGTGATGAGGAAAGCAAATGAATGCATCCTAGAACAGTACCTGCACCATAAACACTTCTGTGCACAATGATGCTTCTCTTCGGCTTCTCATGTGGAGCAATGTACAGATTTCCTGATTCTTTTCTATAGGCAGTAAGTTGCAAAAAGTCATCTTTAAAACTACATGCACCCTTAAATGTCCCCAGGTGCACATGTGAACAGGAGAAAAGCATCGCGAGGTTGCCAAGTGCAGCACTGGTGCCAGCTAGGAGGTTTTTTTTCAGAAAAAAACAGGCTGCACAATAAAGATACCCAACTACAATACAATATTATACTTAACTCAGTCGCACCCAGAACCCCAAATGGTCTCCCTCAAGAAGCTTAACTTACGTGTAGCCCTTCAGCCAGGTGCAGGATAGCAGTAACAAGGGCCAAATTCAATTTTAGGAGTTTGACACAAATTTTCTCCTTTGGCTTGATAAACTTGTTCTTTTGGATGCCATGTTGGTACATCTGCATTATGAGGATGTATCCTGCTCTTTTCAGTATAATACCTACCTGTTTTTTGTTTTTTTTTAACTCCACAAGGGGGTGCTATCTGGCCCTAGGCATATTCCAATAACTGTGAAAACAGGTGCAGTTTTATTTTCATTTAGTGTCTCTTATTAAAATAGTATGTAGATATTATGGGATGTATGCATCAGGGCATATTTGCTGGTAACATGTATATTCATGTAAACAAAACATTCTCTTCAAGTAGAGCTTGATATCTCAGTGTCATTAGCAAATTGCACCTTGTTGAAAATCTGTCAAAGAAAACTGACTTTTCTTGCGTTCGCTACTTTACACAAAATAGAAGCACGGTAAACTTGTGCCATAATGATTTTCTGTCTTTCTTGATGAGACATAATGAGATAAATTCAAGCCCTTTTTGAAGGCTAATTACATCTTGTACACTCTAGACATCAGCTGCCCTTGTTATATGTTGTGCCTTTTCACTTTCATTTCCTCTTCCCTACTGTCTGCCGGGTGCAAGTGAACCGGGCTTAGCTTTGAAATACAAACTGAGGGTGGGGAGGAGCTCTCGGGGTTTTTCTATTTTCTCTGGACCTCTGTAGATATTGTACAATAACACAATATATCATTATTAATAGGGCAAGAATAACCAGGGCTGAATTTTGTAGAAAAAGTTGGCTATAATGAGATAAACCACAAGAACTGTTCTTGAGTACTTTACAAACAAATCTGGGAATAAATTCAAATCTTATTGTATGCCTTGGCTATCCGCTATTGTTTTTTTTTTTTTTTTTTATAGATAGTGTATTGCCGTGTTTGTCAAAAGTGGTCAGCACCTGCTATTTGGAACTAACTAACTAGACCTCAAATCCTACTTGCTTCAAATGATTATCAACATAATCATCCAACTTAGTAGCCACAGTCAGGGACCAAGGCTTCACTGTGCAAGGTTTGTCAGCGAGCAAAGTCTGTTAGTCACCCATGGTTTATTGGTCCAAGTCTATTCCCTTTCTGTGCTATGGTAACATGGTGAAACCAGATTTTTTTTTGTGCGTTTTACTACAGTCAGATAATCGGGGAGCTATTCTTTTTTTGGTGGGGATGGTAGGGGCAAAGGGCCCAGGGCCAGCCAGTTCTTTTTGATTATCAAGGTCATTTAGTGAGAAGTGACAGGTGTTTTCTGTAAAAGGCAAAGAGATCTTAGATAGAGAAAAATGCAAGAAGTGGGCCCAGAATGAAAGTTTTTTGGGTCTAAAACAGATTTTGGTGTGGTCTCAGTTCTTCCTGGCTGTAGTGACAAGCTAGCTCACCCACATAGCAGGGCTTACTTGCAGTAGCAGTAATTTTAATTTAGAAAGACTGGTTGATTCCAAAAGAAATTTCCCTTTTTTCCTGTCAGATCAAGACTAGCTTTTTTCATTGACAAATGCTATAGTGGCCAGCCTGAAGAAGCCAATGATAAAGGGGATATGATGTGAGAAGAGTTGCACATCCTGGTAATCTTACACCTATGCAGAGAATAGAAATTGGTCAGCTGTGTACAGTCCCCATGTGTTTGCCTGGTTTCCTTTCCTTGGAGGAGAGGGGGAACCAAAACAAAACATTTTACCCATTGTGATTATAAGATTCTGTTCTCATATCCATGTGACAAATCTTAGAGAATGAAACCTCTAAGCCAAACCTTAGCTTAGCACCTGGCCAGAAGAGCTCAATGTATCTGAATATCAGATCCAAACCAAGGTACTTGGAGTCCGTGATTATGGCACTTTGAAGTTGGAAACAAGAAATTCCTGTATTCACTTCAGGCTCCCAGAGGAAGAAAAAAAATGACCCTTGTCCAGCATATGGGGGGGTGGAAAAAGAGAACAAAAATAATAGCTCTCAGCTAAAGTCTGTAAGGTCCATCATACATATACGTTACAGCTAAAGGGAATATATTATACAGAGAGCATGTCTAGTGCAGGGCATACCCAGAGCTATCTGTCTTCTCTATAATAGTTCAAAATTCATCACAGGTTTTCTGAAGACAACCCTGGGGAAATAGTCTTATTAGAATGTCTTAAAGCTGTCTGTAGAGAGATCCCCTCCTTTACAGAACTATATTATTATTTTATTTGCTGAGACATTGATTTCTGGGTACAGGGCATCTTAAATGAAAACTGCAAAACATATTTTGCCATTCTCCTAAGATTCCTCTAAGATTGAGTGAAAAAGCAATACTTTAATGTTTTCCAAAGCAGAGAGAGAAGCCAGAAGATCTGTTAACTCTAATACATGCACCAAGAAAAATAAATACCTGACAAAGGCAGCTGCTAGAAAAATCAATGGCCAAAGCATTTACATTCTCTTCTGCAAAAATACTTTAAACATATAGTAACGATTAGCATGAAAATTTTTTTCCAGTGTTTTTCAGTAATTCAGGGCCAGATACCTTATGAGTGTTTGATTTCATCTCTTTAACTCTATGTTTTTTAAAAGGAAACGACAAGGGATTGTTTTATGTTGAGAAAACTTAGTCTCTGCCTCCTCTCTTACAGTCTGCAGACCTGGGTTTTTCAAGGCTTCTCCCCACAGTCCATCTTGCAGCAAGTGTCCCCCACACAGCTACACACTGGAGGAAGCCTCTACCTCCTGCCTATGTGAAGAACACTATTTCAGAAGGGAATCAGACCCACCTACAATGGCCTGTACAAGTAAGCACAAGCAATATCTTTTAAAAATATTTTTGACCAGTTGCTATACAAACAGTAGGCACAAGGGTGAAAAGAAATGGAGCTTCTGTAGGCATTCAGCTTCATCCTGAACTCATTTGCACAAGTTCTACACCACTGCAGTTTCACTGACTTCTCCAAATCACTCCCACTTCATACCAGTGTATGGGAGAAGCATCTGAACTAGTAGGTATGTACATAATGTAGCAGCTAAAACTGAATATACAGCTTCTAGAACTGCCAATATACCATCTCTTAGACAACAACAGCCCTGTGTACATAACATTGCCAAGATCGTAATCTGTGCGTGTGTGTGTGTATGTGTATGTGGTGGTGTATGTGTGCGTGCTCATGTACATAGAGCTACCAGTGCATTTCTGTATATAGACAGGTAAATATACATATGGGTATTTAGATACAGATATAGACACAATATATATGGTGATAGTTATTATCAAAGGTAACTCGATTTTTAGGACTCAGCAACCAGGGAAATGGTGTAGTACTCTGAGCTACCTGAACTTAATCTGTATTGGCCAGGCAAACTGATTATCTGAAGCTGCAATGAAGAAACAGGCCCCAACCCCTGAAGTTAAATGGTCAAGGAGGTGAAGTTATTGTAAGGGGGAAATAGCAAGCACTGGGGGTGCTTTGGGAGTAGAGGAGAGGATTTTTGGAGTTAGAGTGGAGAAGAAAAGTGAAAGGAATAATTTAACATTGTCCCTTTCCTCTAAAATGCCTAGCTGCCCTCTTTTCCTTAGATTGGAAACATTGAAGTGGCCCTGGTCATTTTCTGTTCTAAATATTGATGCCCTGAACGTGCAAAGACTTAGGCCAGGATTACACTACAAAGTTGGTTGGTGTTGTTCTGCCAGCTAGGTGCTACGTAAAATTACCCACCTGTGGCTGAGAGCTTTAATAGCAAAGCTGCCAGTGAAGGTGCATCCACACTGACAGAAGAGAGATTTTACCAGCTAAGCTTGTATTGTTCATGGAGCCAGTGCAGTTACACTGATAGAAAATGCTTCCTGCCAGGGTTGGCTGTGTCTGTAGTAGGGGCTCTGCTGACAAAGCTCTCCTGGTACAGGTATTCTGTCAGAGCTTGGTACTGTCCTCACACCCATGCTTAACTTCACCCTTTGAGTAGTTCTGTTGAAGTCAATTTACTACAATATATAAGACTTTGTTGGCTTGGGACCTAATCTGGGAACAACACAATATTCCAGATACAATATTGTACTAGAAGAGGCATAGAAAGGGATTGGGAGAAAACTGAGTTCCTGGGCATAGGAGCAGGTAGAAATTCTAGTAAATCATAAAGAGGAAAGGAAAGGAAAGGAGGGGTATCTAAAACATCTGGTTATAGGCAAAGAGGTGACTTCTCCTTTCCATTTCCTCAGATACTTTCTATCAGGAACTATTTTTCAAAAGAAAAAGTCAGACTCTCAGAACCTTCTGAAAACTAGTGTGTAATAGCAGCCTACTCATATCCACTCTGGTTATTTTGCTAGGACTTTCTTTGCTGGAAACAAAACAGGGAAGTGATTTAGGAATCCAGGTATAGCTTCTAGCCTTAAATGAATGAACCGAAAGACATTTAGGGGAAGAGAAAATCTAAGATCTGAATGGGAGTAAAACAGTTCTGGGGCCAGGACAATAATGATAGGTTCCTAGTGCTTTAGCCCAGTGAGGCCAGCAGCCAGGTTCTCCTTTCAAAGCAAAGGTTCTGAGCCAGCAGCCTCTTGCGCACAGAGAGCGTATCTACACGTGCATTTATGCTGACTTAAATTTACTGTGCAGTAAGTTATTGTGTAGTAGTTGGGAATAGGCTGGCATCTACACATGCAGGCTTTAAAGCACATTAATGCTGTGTGTGGACTGATTTGGGACTAAATCCCCAAAATGTCCTTCTCCCTTACTGTGCACTAAGGCAGATCTACACGTGTGTTACTGCACAATAACTAATTAGGTGGGTATCAGGTATCAAATTTACAGTCAAGTTGATGTAAGTCATCATATATACTGTGACGTATGGGCATGCATGTGCAGGCACACTTCTATACTGCACTGTAATTTTGCTTACTGTGCAGTAAATGCACATGTGTAGACATGCTCAGAAAAAACATTCTTCTCTGCACCTAAGGGACAGCTTGCTCAGGTTAGCCAGTTGATATAAGGTCTAAATTAGGAACACTGAATATGTTGCTGTGTAGTCTGTAGAACAGAAACTGACTTCAGATGTGCTGCTGTTTAAAGTCCTGTCCCTGGGATTCCTGGATTCCTAGTTTCGTAGATGTAGGGTCAGAAGAGACCCTGTAGATCTTCTAGTCTGACGCCCTGCCCTGGGCAGGAGAGAAAACTGGGCTCAAATGACCCCAGCCAGGTAAATATCAAGCCTCCTCTTAAAGACCCCCAGGGTAGGAGCCATCACCACTTCCCTTGG